CCGGCAGAGCCAGCCCCGGACCCTCTTCGTCACCATCCTGCCCCGCAGCTCCAAGGGGCCCCGGCTGCGGGTCAACGCCGGGCTGCAGGTAAGAGCCAGATGCCACGGGGATGGGCAGCCACCCCAGCGGGCCCTGGGTCCTCAGCGCTAGGACACCCGAGGGGTGACCAGCCAAGCGTGGGGACCCCACGGGACCCACTCCGAGCCTGGTCACGCACCTCAGGGAATTCGGGCCCCAGCAGAGCCAGGCGGTGGGCTCCAGGGAAGGGGGGCGGTTTCCCGGCGGGGGCGAGGCTTTGCAGGAGGCGGAGACCGGGCTGTGTCGTCGTCCCCATCTCCCTCCCCCCCATCCCTCCCCGCCGCCGATGCTGAAACCGTCCGCAAGATGGGAGCATCGCCCCGTCGCACCGATGGGCTCGGCGGAGCCGCGCTGCCACGGGGGCAGGGACGCGGGCCTTTTTTTTTGGGGACCGGCAGCCTCCTCGCCCTTCCTCACGTCCTGGAATAATCCCTGGGAGCACAAAGAGCAACTTGCCCGCGTTTCATCAGCACAGATTGGAAATACTTAATTATTTAGGCGGCTTTCACACCTCTCTTTATACCTGCCTCAGGAAAGTCAGGAGCAAATAGGTCTCACCTGCTGCTGAAGTCCCACCTTCTGTTTCAGACACCTCTCTGCCCCATTCAGGATCGCCACTGCAAAACTGCAGCAAAGAAATTATTAGAAAACACACAGGAGTGCCAGCCCAGCAGGATCATTCCCCACACACACACCCCCAGCAGGCTATCCTCACCCATCCCAGGACTTCCCAGGCTGGGCAGAGGGAAAGCAGCTCCATCTGTCAGGACCATCACATCAGGATCGTCACAGTGGCTTTGGGAAAGGTGTCTGGGAGCCTGGGCTCTGGAGGAGACACCCAAAGGGAAGGGTATGGGCTGTTCTGCCCTGGGCCAGGGCTGCCAGCAAGGTTTGGGGGGTGCCCCCATCCACAGCCAGCCCTGGCTCTAAGCCTGCCTCTACACCTCCAGCCCAGGAAGCTCAGCCTTTCTGCCAGCAAATCCCTTTTATAGTGCATGAAGTGGTGCCTCCAGGATCTGCTCCATCTGTGCCAAAATCCTTCGCTCCCAACAGAGAAAGGTTAACCCCTTGGCTGCTGGCCCCACAGCAGCCACTCATCCCCACTCCAGCGGCACTAAAAGCCCCTCTCTGCTTGCTGAGGACCAGCACATCCCAAAAGGGCTGCTCCGTGCTGGCTCTGGCAGGGTGGGCCTGAGGAGGGGCTCTGGAGCTGGGAAAAGCTCCCTGTTCTGAGCAGGAGCAATGCTAAAGCAACCCAGGGCTCAGGAGGAGCCCAGCCCTGCTGTGTTTGTGCTCTGGAGAGAAATGACTTCAGCGTTTAAAGGTCAGGCCGGGTCCAGGAGAGAGATTGCACAAAGCCTTCCTCTGCTGCCTGCGCCTGCCAGTGCCAGGGGTGCAGAGTCCACGCAGGGCTGGGGAGACAACTGGCAGGGTTCAGACCCCAAAGCAGAGCCCCCTGGAAAGGACCAGATTTGCCTCAAGCAGCTTTTGGGTTGCATCAGGAGAAAGGATGGCTGGCTGCCACCCCCTGGAAAGGACCAGATTTGCCTCAAGCAGCTTTTGGGTTGCATCAGGAGAAAGGATGGCCACTAAAACACCCGGCCGTGCCCCTGGTGTTATTTCACTGCCTCCCCACATGCTCTCCTGGAGAGCAGAGCCGACACGGAGGCTAAGCAAACACAATAAGCCGTGTAAGTGAGAGCAGGAACCAGGCGGAAGGCTTTAATAATTCAGAGGACAGGCAGCATGGCAAAGCAGGTCAGCTCCGGCGGCCTGGGCTCTTGGCAGTGAGCAAAGCTGCTCCAGCCACCACGTGTGCCCGTCCCCTGGGGCAGCCAGTCCCCCCTGCCTCCAAACACTCCTCCGGGCTTTGACCACCGGGAGTTTTCCTTGGCACCCAGCCCCAGATGTGATTGCAATTCCAACAGGCGCTGAAGTGACCTGACTGTGGGTGCTGGAGGAGAAGAGCAGCCCAAAAAAAACACAGTGCATGTATGTGGTGGAGCAGCAGCTCCTGCTGCAAGGGCTGCAGCTCCCACAGCGGCCGTGTGTCTGACAGCACTTCCCCATCCCATCTCTTCAACACTGTGTTTTTGAGCCTGCCTCCCGCTATCCCACAGGGACTGCGTAGGGTTTTAGTTTCACTGTCGGGACCCACACCCACTCAAGAAATGTTTTGGGTTAGGCCAGCTGAAAACAGCAGAAAAGAGCTCATTGAACGGAGGACAGCCAGCTGAGCCGCTCCTCCAGCGTCTGGGTGTTGTCTTATGGGTTTGCAGGACGCGGGCCAGGCCTGCGGTGCTGTGGGATGCAGTGCACCCTGCCCCTCCGCCCTGCACGAGCTGCAGGAAGGCTCGGTGCACACACCCCATGATTTTGGGGCATCTTGAGGGCAAAAGGCAGCTCTGGGGTGTGCGGGCAGAACTTGTCTGGTAGCACAGGATTCACGCCCATGCTCTGCCGAGACCGAGATATGGCACAGGAATAGGAGTGGGGAAAGTTGCTGCCTCCAGCTGGGGAGGGGAGA